TGATTTTTTTGAACTGCGGAGTGAAACGGTCGCTACTTTACCCAAATCTTTTAAAATGAGCTGAAAGTTGAAGGAAGTCTTAACGTGTCTAGACCAAGGCTGTTAACTTCGATAGTGATCGTGATCGACTGCAGCTGGTAGTTCCTTTTTTTAACCGCTTTCTTCTTCAGGGGTCGCCGCAGCGAACCAACTCGAACACAGATTTGGCGATTGTTTTTATGCCGGAAGCCCTTCCTGACGACCAGAGACCACCGAGCTACCACAGCCCTCTGTGTGGAGCAGAGAGCTGCCATCTAGGGCGCCCGGGGGAGCAGACGGTGGGGGTTAAGGGCTTTGCTCAAGGGCCCAGAGTGGGGCAAATGAAGGTGGAGGCAGGCGTTTCAACTTTCCCACCCACATTTTTTATGTTGTTGGTTCGAGGAGTTGAACTGGCGACCTTCCAATCACAGGCCAATCTTGTCCAACCTCTGCGCCACCACTCCCCCTCCATAAAGTTTCTCTTTGCAAGCGTAAAATTTGTGCGTCGGCACTTGATACTCGTCCATCACCTTCATGTAGAAGGAAACTGGAACATCCAGGGAACCATCGAGGCTCAAGCCTGGCGACCACTGAAAACCGCTGAACACGTGTTTTACATAAATGTGGACTGTGGGGGAACTCTGACCAAGAAAGGAGCTTCTGCTAGGAAAGGAACTCCCTCAGACTCGACTGAAACTTTAATGTGGCCGAGTCAAACGTTTTCGGATGGAAAGTTTTATGGTCAAACAAATTGAGGCTATCAGGCGAAAAGCAGTTCTAACTGTCAAGCACGGTGGAGGTAGAATCATGCTATGTGACAGACGCATTGTACGACGTGAAACGTTTAAAAAAAAAAAAAAAAACTACCTTCAAAATTTTACTTCTCACACAGAATCAACAAAAAACTGGTCACGGGTGTTCCAACAGAACGGCGATAAAAAACACCCGTCAGAACTGGCTTCTGATTGGACAAAACAGGCCAACATCAAGCTTCTGGGCTGGCCGCCCTGAAGCCGAGACCTCAATCCAACTACAGTAATATCCGCCGTACAAGTCGCACCACCATACAAGTTGCATCAGTTGAAATATGTCTAATAAAGTGGAAAAAAACAAATAAGTCGCTTCGCCGTACCACTTTAATGATCAAAACAGCTGCATTTCGCCTGGGTGGCGGAGAAATTTGACGTTTGTTCCAGGAGTTCCGGAGCGAGACGAATGTGGCTTGTATGGCAAGCCAAGTGTCTCATTAATAGCCACTTTTACCTATTAATGAGACACTTGGCTTGCCATATTAGTCGAGGGCCCTCTAGTGGCTGAAAATGGTAGTGTTCAATATTTTCCATGTCAGAATAAATGAAATCATCAGATCTCAGCCAAAAATTGGGTTATAAATATGGGAGGAAATAAATAAATAAGTCGCTTCACCGTATAAGTCACAGGGCATGCAAATTTATGCAAAAAGGTGCGACTTATATGGCAAAAAGTACAGTAGATGTTTGTGGATTGTGCTAAAAACCCAACCAATCTGAAGCAACTTCACTGTTGGACTTCAACCAGCCAGCAGTTCAGTCATTCCACTCTGAAGTGAAGCCGTTCAACTAAATTATCAAAAGCGCAAAACGACCAGCACTTGTGCATGTATGTAAACTTCTGACTGCAACTGTGCGTACACTTTTCAGTACCAACTAGTGTTTTTTGTGTATATGGCAAGTACAGCAAAACAGCACCATCATTGAGAACCTGAAAGAGGAAAATGGCCTCAGTTACTTCATGTAATACTCTGTCGCAGTATTCAAAACTGAGGGTTTGAGACATTTATTACACAAATCGTTCGGATAGGTAATTGCTTATCTGCGGCGATTCGGTCAAAAGTAATAATATTAGATGGCGCAAAAGTAGATAGAAAATAATCTTAAATTCTATATAAATATCTAAATATACAGTATACCTTTGTAATGATTTGACAATCTGCCATGCCTCGTATACATTATTCTTGAAAAAAGCAAGGATAAAATTAGAGAAAATACTTTTCATTCGTTTCAACACTGGTGTGTTTGAGCAGCTGGGAGCCGAGAAAGAAGCAGCCAAATCAGACGTGGGTTTTATAAAAAGGCCAACGATGAAAAAAAAATGGTCCGAATGCGTCATTTCGTTAAAAAAAAGTTTAGAAACAAAGTGAATCTTATTAAAAGAAAAAGATATGATTCGACCCTGAGACCCCCGCCCCGCTAAATCTACCCCTCCCCTTCGGAAATCTCTTTTTTTTTACACAAGAACAAAAATCACATGTTAAAAAAAAAAAGAGACAAAAACAGTAAAACTGTCACAAAACCTTCATTCACTCACTCTTTTTTAAGTTCAATGTTTTGTATAGACCGCCTGCATTTCCATCTTTAGCAGATAAAAATTAAAAAACTGTGGCAAAGGGAGGGAGGAGTTATCGACGTGTTGACACCGACGAGCGACTGAAGAGAAGGATGAAGGCAAAATGACGAAGTAGAACTTTTAGGAAAAGAACAGCAAATGGCAGGAGCGGCTCGAGTTACTTGTATATTTTTTCTTTTAAATATCGCCGCTGTGAATAAATAAAACGAGTCCCATGGGTGCAGGGAAAACTCCAGATGTAAAGCAGGTGTTTATTCTGTACGTCCTCCTCCTCCCCGTGGGTGCGTGATGTGTGGAGTTTTGACATTTCCTCAGCTAGCACCCCTTTACACTGGTTTAATACCTTGAGGGAAAAAGTGAAAAAACACATTAAAGGTAAGGGAAGTGTTGCACACGAGCGTTCAGACATGGAGCAGGCTCGAGTTAATACCTATAGTAGTTTGGCTTGAAGGGGCCATTCTTGTTCAAGCCCAGGTACTTGGCCTGCTCGTCGGACAGCTCGGTGAGATGTGCGTCAAACGTGGGGAGATGTAAGCTGGCCACGTACTCGTCTGCAAGGCAAACAGGAGGAAGAGTTCAAGGCCTAGCAGTCCTCGAGTTGTGGACGAAGATCACATGTTGAGAAATGATGGCGGTGTCGCCGTTTTGGTCAAACCTTGAAAATACCTTTGACCAATATCATACCCTTGGAGAAAAGATGGATTTATTAAGACGTACCAAAATGGTTCTCA